GCAGCAGCAGTAGCAGCAGCAGCAGCAGCAGCAGCAGCAGTAAGTAGTAGTAGTAGTAGTAGTAGTAGTAGTAGTAGTAGTTGTAGTTGTAGTTGTAGTTGTAGTTGTAGTTGTTGTTGTTGTTGTGGTACTACTCGTAGCAGCAGCAATAATCATAAGAGTAGTAGTAGTAGTAGTAGTAGTAGCAGAAGTAGTAATTAGTAGAGTAGTACTAGCAGTACTACCGGTTACTGTCGTACTTTCAGTTCTGCGCTACTGCTGCTGCTAGTGCTACTGCTGCTACACCTCCCTAGACGAGTTTAAGGTTTCAGGTTTTGCGGTTTTAGGGACTCGTGTCTGCGTGTATAATAGTATACGATAATGGCTGCTACAGTACTTTTCGCTAGTATTTAAAGAGGCTATTGTACTTGACTTGCATCTGCTGGGCGCCGCAACCCGAGAACCTTCAAGGCTTTCCCAAGTCCTAAGGACGTATGGTGTATAATGGAATACTGTACTGTAATCGTATACTATTATCCTTTAATGGCGTGCAAGCCGAAACCCTAACAAGCTTAAGACCAACATCCCAAGCCTTCACAAACCAGTGCAAGCCTAAACCCTCAAGCTCAAAGCTTAAACCCGACATCCCAAGCCCTGGCGGAGCACCTTAAACCCGACACCCGACACGCTCAACATGCCCCTCCCTCAGCAAAAAGCGTGTACAAAGCCCAAAATGCTCAAGAAATTCAGCACTGACGCATTGAAGGAAAACACAAATTTTGTTACTCGCATGAGTCCGATGCCTTCCCCTGAAGCGCTTTTCTCTCAACAAAACTTGTGATTTCACCGAGGTCAAAACACAAAGTGCGCTTTAAGTACAGTTTCATCCCCCCAGAGACAACAAAAGCGTGGCAACACCGAAGCCCCACAAACCCATGCCTCGACGGAGATCCAAAAAAGCCACTTCATCCGGAACCCGTAAAGACAAGCTGGCGGACACTCGTGCCATCGATTGCAAAACCTTGTTTTCGCCTCGGCAAAACCACCAACAAGTTAGTTTAGAAAAGATGGCCCGAAAACTGGAGCGGCTGCGCAAGGCTGTCTTCCGAAACAAATACTGCACAAACAGAAAACGTCGTTTTTTCAGCAGCCATTTTGCCTAAAAAGCACCCTTGCTACCGCGCGGGTCGTTTCATAGGGCGTTTCCTTTAAGCTGGCTGTTTAACTCTCGACCTCTTCTGTCGTGCAGCCCACTATTGGAGGCGCTGAAGCAGAAGGTCTCCCTAGCGCTGATGAGGCGCGTGCTCCAGCTCGCCGGTTAGGGAATGGAGTCACGTGCTTGAAGGTGGGATCAATTCCGTGATCGCAAGAGGCGACGTCAGGCGGCAGAGCTGGAAGGCGGAACCGCAACGAAAACATTTCGAAACGCGCCGCCGCGCTCGGAGATGTGTGCGCGACCCTGCCTGGCCTAGCATCGAGGCTTCCGTGGCTCAGCGCGGAGCTGACACCGCAATCCCTTCCGCAAAGCAGTTCGATCCAGTTCCTTCCTTCGCTGAAGGTGACGGCATGCGGCAGCCTGGAGATGCCATGGGAGGCATCAGCTCGAGGTGGGCCCCATCGATTCCTCTGAAAACTTCCGAAGACGCCTCAAGCGCGCAAGGCGCCTCTGTTGTTTACATTGATGGGTCATGGTGCTTTCTGCATGATGCTCAGGCATGAGTCCCAGCTTCATGCTGAAACACACTGCGCAGCCTCCCAAGAATCCCCGCATGAGGCCCACATTCTCCGTGAAGCGCATCAACAAGCCGATCACCTCATTGTCGGCGTGCATAGCCGCAGTCCTAGATCGAAGTCTGTCACTGTCGCACTGTCATGGAATGCTGTGCTTGAGGCGACGAGTGCCATCAAGTAGCGGTTGGCTCCTGGTGGGGGCCCCTGTGGGCCGAGGGCCTTTTAGGGGCACAGCGGGCACAGGAGGCTGAAGCGAGCCGAGGCCACCCGAATGCTACGCTGCGAGACTCGGTCGTCTCAGGAGGAAACCCTGGGCCCGGAGCTGAGAGGAGCTGAGAGCGGAGTCATTGAGTCTTCCTTGCGCCTTCCAAAGGCGGCGAGCATCCTGGAGCAGGCTCCTTGGGAGGCCCCCTATCCACGACGCATCTTGGAGTCTTGGACCTCAAGCCTTCGCGACGGCTGCGAGGTAACACCCGAACTGCTTGATGAGCTGTGCATTACGAGAGTTGTAAGCGGATCCGTCACCAAGATCGAGGACTGACATATTGTTGCTGATGATTGTTGCTGTACAGTACTTTGGACGTCATGGTAGAGGCTGGAAAGCTTGAGCTGCACGTCTATATCAACATTCTTCAACTATGTATGCAGCTGCCAGTGGTGTTTAGAACACCATGTTCCTTACACCAGCACTGGCAAGTGCAGCATCAATCTAAACCACTGGGCTTCGGCGGCAGAAGCGCCTGCATGGCAGGACTGCTCTGGCAAGGATGTTGCAACACGGCCACGATCTCACAGGCGGAACAGATATCCCAGGTGTGCGTAGATGGAGTCTGTGGAGCCGGTGTCGCGATGAAATTCGGTCAACGTGTCGCTTGCAATTGTGTTCTGTTTTCGACCAAACTGCTGACGACCAAGTGGACAAGAGAAGAGAAGTTTCCGGAATTATATCGAACCAGAGCGTCATCAGTAGCTTCTACAAATGTCCAACGGTACAGTGAAAAGATACTTTTATGACTTGACTCGCAGAGTCATGATACGCGTAGTACGACACTCCTGTCCGAAGCATTCGTCTCCATCATCTTCCTTCACAGAAACACGGCACGAACCTGTGATTCGTGGCGCAACGTGGCGAAGCTCGCTGGAGTGGCGGAAGAGGAGGAGCTGATGAGTTCGATGATATGGGAAGTTTTTGCGCCAGTCCAGGTTGTTCGCACGTCGTCCGAGGAACTCTCGTGTGCCGAAACTTTTCACTCTCCCAGTTTGCACTTGCTTGGATCTCGCAAAACGTGAGCCACTTGTGCAGTACTCCGACCAGCAAGGACCGCCAGGAGGCACGGACAGTGATGCTGACCGACGAAAACGGTTCACAGCTTGCGATGCTTGGCTCTAGGTTCCGGTGCTGCTGGCATCACCGGTCGACCCATATGCAGAATGTAAGAGGTGCGGCACACGCAGCGTTGCACTTTCTTGGATGAATTCATGCACGTCAACGGCACCCTGCACCGCCAAGGCGTGGCATTTTCGAGGAGTTGCCGTCGCTGAATGCATCCACTGAGCATGACGAGTGGATGCGCAAGGCCAGTCTCGACTTGTCTGTCTGGATGGATGGAGGGAGGGATGGATATGTACTGTATGCATCTGTTTGTATCTGTGTGTCTGTGTCTATGCAGGTATGTAGACTTGCATGCATGCAGGTCGTCATGCATGCTGTGCATGTCATGGGCGGATGTATAAGTGCATAGATGCCTGGGTGCACCGCTTCTGTAGTAGTACTACCCTAAGCCCGATCCAAAAAGTAATGAGATTCAGCGGCCATGTCTTTTTGCAGTAGTAGTGGTGGTGGTGGTCGTCGTCGTCGTAGTAGTAGTAGTAGTAGCAGCAGCAGCAGCAGTCGTCGTCGTAGTCGTGGTTGTAGCAGCAGCAGCAGCAGCAGCAGCAGCAGCAGCAGGAGTAGTAGTAGTGTAGTACTAGTAGTAGTAGGCAACCCCCACCCACTCTCCTAAACACTGTTTAAGCGCACATCCATTTGAATGGCTGTTTAAAGTACTTTGAAGCTTTCGTGATGTCGTAGTCCAATACCAACTACTACTCTTGAGGGGTGGGGAGTGGTGGGGCGGGGGTGTGGGAGGGCGGATTGGGGGGGGTGAAACACTGAATGTTACACATCCAGGTGCCTGTCTGTTTCACGTATCACTTCCATGTATCCATACCTGTTGCTCCAGGTTCTCGCAGAGTACGATCAACGGCTGTGCGCCTGCAGTAAACCGAGACCCCTGCGTTGCATGTGTTCCTGTATGCTTTGCGAATCTTTGCCAAGGGATACACACCCAGGTTACATCTCAACGTGGTAGCGGGGCTCCCGGGAAAGCGGGAAGCTTCACACTTGTGGAGGTACCCGCTGGTACTCTCCATACAGGTGGAGGCAACCGGATCCTCGGCGTGTTTCACGCAGGTGAAGGTGACCGGAGTTTCTCCGGTACACTTCACACAAGTGAAGATAAGAGGGATCTCTCTCGGGCCGCAAACAGAGCCATGGCTAGCCACTCTGCTGCGCCGTATGAGCATGGAGAAGGAGATGATGATTGCCTCCAGGGGAACGAATCATATGCGACGAATCACTGCCATCTTCAAGAACACACCGACTTTCAGCTTTTCAACAGGTGTACCGCCGTCCGATGACCGGCGAAGCAGCTGGTTTGCCGATCAAGACGCGATCGATGACTGGTGTGATATCACTGAGTTGGACAATGACACGCGCAGACCGGCTTTGCGAAACCGTTTGGAAGTTGAAGCAGTCATTCACAAAGAGGCTTCTGGACAGAGAGCACCTGAAGGATCCGAACAACGGAGTGAAGTACTTCAAGAGTTTCCTGCAACCGCTCTTTGTGAAGGGCGCAGCCAATGTTTTCCTCTACCGCTTCCAGCAGTTCATGAGCTTGCACCGCGGTAATGGAGTGGAATACCAGATTCCAGCTCTCTGTTCAGAGGATGCAAGAAGCCTGGAATGATACCTACCTTCCAATCACGGACCCGAACAACGCCTTGGTCCGAGCATTCATAGCAGGACCCCCCGCAGAAGAGCAAGCAGATCTCGATCGAGGCGATGCACAGAGCTAATGAGAGGCTCAGAGATCAGCATGCGCGGTGTTGGGGTGCTGGCCGGATGCCCCAAGCTTACCCATTACATGCAGCTCTTGCGGGACAAAGCGACCTGCGTCAGCAGGCGTTCTTCCCTCGTTGTTGTGGTCATCGGATGACGACAAGCCGTCGTCTTCATCCTCCTCTCGTCGTCGTCGTCGTAGCAGTAGTAGTGGTGGTAGTCGTACGCTAGCCGGTAGCGGGCTAGTAGTGGCACCCTAAACCCTCAACCCCTACACCCGAAACCCCAAAGCATTGAACCCCCATGCACGCTAAACTCGTGCGAAAACCTCGGCCCAATCCAATAACCTGAAACTTAAAGAAAACCCGACGCCCAAAACCCAGGATTCTTAAATTATCAAACCCCAAAGGCCCTACAACAGCAAATGATTAGCTACAGTTCATTCGCCTGCTTGTCCCCAGTGCTTTTCTTCGGATCCTTCTCGTGCTGCTGCTTCTTCTTTGGCATATCATCCTGGCTGTGGGATGAATATGAGAAAGTCTTATGGTTTCGGGATTCCGTGCTATTAATGTAATTGGGGCACGGATTTGAAAGTGCCACAACAATCACGAGGAAACTGATAGTATGTCCCCGGCCTGGTTGTCCCCGGTGGTGCTCTTCGCCGGCTGCTGTTTCTTCTTGGGCATATTGTTGTAAGGTTTAGCATGTATTGCTAGGGGTTAGCAATTCGCCTGCTGCGTGCCCGCGTCGCTGGTGGCCGTCATCGCCGGCTTCTTCTTGATTATACCCTGCTCCAGGGAGTACAAATTACATTACACTATACGATATACATGATACTTATCAATACTGGCTTCACTCTTTGATTTGGCTGCCCCAACAACTCGCTTTTGTTGTCGTGCTCTGGTCGGGCTCCATCTTGTCCAGCTGCTGCTTCTTCTTGGGCATACCCTGGTTGAAGGTGGTGGGGCTGGGGATGAGGGTATAATAAGGAGCTCAGTAGTAGTAGTAGTAGTAGTAGTAGTAGTTGTGGTAGTAGTAGTAGTAATAATAATAATAGTAGTAGTAGTAGTAGTGGTAGTAGGCGGCATCCCCCCTACCAACCACCTCTGCTGCCAACCCTCTTAAGAGCACGTTCGTTTTACTCGGTATTTGCGGTACGTTCGTCCTGTCATACCACTTCTTCGTGCCTCAAAATCCACTCCGTATAAATTCGGCTT